CTGAATCTTTTGGAAATAATTTAATTTAGAAGTTATTTTTATATTATGACTTGTGAGCCGCTCTTCTTAATGTATCAAAAACACGATTATATATTTTATTTTTCCACCTGAGGCTTTACTAGTATGAGGATGCTATATTTTAATGTCTTTCACAGGGAGACTTCTGAATCTCCAGTTAGTTAATCCTCCTTAACAGAGTAGGTTTTGCATGGACATGTACTAGTCTATTAAAAGAAATTGCTAATATAGATTCAGATTTCAAAGTTATAAATGCAAATATAGTTTTGGCTCATTTTGTCAGGCCCTTGTATTTTTCTGATTTCTGGATGAACTTTATGCATTTTCAGCAATGACTTTGGATAACTTTAGAGGAAGTGAAACTGAACTTTGTTACGGATATTCTGATTGCTAGTACTGTTTTAATTCTTTGCATATGTGATTTTAGTTGGAAGTAATTATCACCTGCCTGCTACAGTTTGAGCTGCGAATAATTTCAAAGTCTTGAATTTGCTCCATTGTCAATAATTTTTTAAGTCTATACACTTCTTGTGATGTATATATCTAGGAAATACTTTAGTGTCAGGTTTATGTCCATCATAAAACAAGTTATATGTGTTAAACAAGGATTTTGATTCTCTACATGTCAAACTTTTCTGATATCCCACTTTCTGGCTTCTTGCAGAGCAGGAGATGCATAACTATTTGGCACGAGATGATGATCGCGGTGGGCCTCAGTCCTTGAAGGACACAAAAACAATTGATTCAGCATATGATCGGTACCTCAAGACTGTGGTATCCTCTTGAACCTTTAGTCATGCATTTCTTTCTTCATTTTTTCTTTTTGTTCTTCCTTTTTATTTTTCATGCATCTTTATGTTGCTTTCTAAGACATTCATTAAATTTCTTTGGAAGCAACTTTCTTCTTTGACATCTGGAGAAGCCGGTACTTTTGGCAGTTTGGGAAGGGCTGGTGGTGGAATGCCTGCTTATCAAGTAACTGATTCTCCTGTGTTGACTCATCCTGGTTCCATTGGTCAAGATCTGGTACTAAATGGTCGAAATGCTGGTTATAGAGCAAAACTTCCAGCTGAGCCAATGATTAGGCCGGCCCGAAAAGCAGCATCTTTGCCTCCAGATGCTTCAAATACCCTATATGTTGAGGGATTTCCTCCTGACTGCACAAGGAGGGAAGTGGCCCGTATCTTTTTTGCTGCTACAATGTTTGAGAAATTATGTTCATATTTGCTTTATGATGATTGTGTCTTTAATTCAATAACTTGCTTTTGACTGGTTGCCCATGTTCCTTAACTAAGCTTTAGATATCTTCCGCCCCTTTGTAGGATATAAAGAAGTAAGACTTGTTACCAAAGAGTCTAAACATGTAAGTTAAACAAACACCTTTTTCTTTTGCTTAGATTGACTTAGCTTACTGCTTTAATTGCTGAAGTTATTTGTCAAGATTGTGATTGCTCTGAATATTAAAAGTCGAAACATTTTAACAATGCAGCGTGGTGGAGATCCAATTGTTCTTTGTTTTGTTGACTTTGAAAATCCAGCCTGTGCAGCCACTGCTATGAGTGCCTTGCAAGGTAATTTCTTCTTTCCCTGTATTTTCACATTTACTGTGCAAGCTTAATTGTGGAAGATGAACAATGACTTATGGTAATAATGCTGTAGAGAATACAATAATAAGTTTGTTTCTTGCTGCCTTGTGATTTTCATTTTTGCATTTCCAATTCTTACTCTTCACGAAAAGATTTTCTGATACATACAAACACATTATATATCCACAGATACATAAAAATTAAGTGGGGAAATGTGACCAAAAATGTTATTTTAGATAATGACATCTTTTTTCTTCCACTTAGAAATGTAGGGTAAATGGATTGAGTGTATATATTCATCTAAGTTGATGCTTTTCTCAAATTACTTGGTAAAGCAGAGTTTTTGTTGGATGTACAGGTTATAAAATGGATGACCTTGATCCTGATTCAAATTATTTGAGGCTGCAGTTTTGTCGGTACCCAGGCCCAAGGTCAATTCCTGGAAATCGTGGACGGAGATGAATGGTCTATCATTGGAGTCACCACGCTGAATTAAAACCAGTTTTTACAGCACACATCTTCATTTAAAATGCCCACTCAGCGCACACCTCGCTGAGTGGGTATTTTAACGAAGCAGGTTACTTGAAACTTGCACTTTAAATTGCTGAGCTCTTGGCTCGCTATCCGCTTGCTCCACAGATGCAGAAGGAAAAAAAAATGAAAATTAGGAGACACAAGAAAGAAGATATGTAGTTATGCTCGCACCAATATTGATCCTTGAATTTTTTTTTTTTTTTCTATGAATCAAAATTTCATTTGTGGGAGTAAAATGGGTACTCTATCCCTCCCTTAAATATTGATCCTTGAGTTGCTTCCCTTTTGATGGAAGCTATGTTGTATTATAATTGCCAGATACAGCTTTTGATTTTAGCCGTTAATACCAAGGCAAAATATTTTTGGTGTAAAACAAATGGCTACGGCTAGTGTTATTTCTGGATGATTGTCATATCCAGCATGCCCATGTGGTACATTACATACAAAACTATTCACATCATAGTAAGAAAAAAGAAAAAATTAAAATATTTTGACATTTTATTACTTGTGAAATTATTTAAATATCTTTAATGAATTTTTATACCTATTGATTCATTTAAGATATCTAAGATTTTTCATTACCGTTTCTAATATTTTGAGTGTCAAGATAACTGGATTTTACGTAATTAATATTATCCTAAATAGTAATGTCTATGATTAAATGGAAATATTTTTCTCTAGGTTGGTGATCTATATTGTGATTCCTGGTCAGACTTTCCAAGTCCATTCCCAGGGATCTGAGAACTACTCTTTGTACGTAACTAGCAACATCTACATGTGTTTGTTAAGATTCTGAACCACCAGAAAACTCCCTCCACTTTCAATAAAACATGATTCATTTTCTGTGCTCCCTATTCAAAAGCCAAGAGTCTAAATCCATAAATGTTAGCATATTTAATTTCGAGCAGTTCCATTAACCATTTAAGAACAATATACCTACAATGTTATTTCATATCCGTAACATTAAATGAAGAAATGTAAAATAAAATTAATTTATATATATATATATATATATCATAAAAGATTGTGAGACTTTTGTTATTGGATAACGTTATCGATTAATGATTTTCCATGCTCTTTTTCTGGTTTAGGTTTGGTAGTGACTTCACTCACCAAACACCAAATGCCGTACTCAATTTACGACCAAATTTGGGTGACTAATGAGTGACAATATCGCTTTCTTTGCCCAAACAGAGCAGAAAAGTTTGAAATTCCGTTGATTTTAAGGTCATGAAAATCCAAAGGTAATTAATAAAACCCCTTTTCATGGGTAGAAAAATTGAGGCAGCCGACTTGATCACGTACCAAACATTTTCAAACAATCTAAAACATGTTAGAACAACGCATGTTCAAAGTCCACCTTATAATTCAAGCACAGTATCTCAATTCATCAAACAAACTTGCATGTTCCTCTTAATCATCACCTTAATTCAAAGTCATTAATTGAATTTTTACAACTTAACTACTTAACATAAGACATTGAGTCTTTTTTATTGACTTTGGATGCCTAGCAAAATAAAGAACAAGCCTGAATTAACCTGTTCGTCCTGTCTGCAGGAGTAAATGATGTGGAATGTTCTTTTGCATGGCATCTTTAAAGGCATATACCTAACCTTACATTATTTGCATTATCTCCTCTTTACTGATTGATTGATCGTCGGTCATTAAAATTCGTACAAAAATGATAAAATATAAAAATGATAGAATTTATCTCCAATGTCACATCGGTTGATTGATTTTGACACAAATTGATAG